TCTGTGTATGCTCCCCCGTTAAAATTCTCTCTCTCTCTCTCTCTCTCTCTCTGTCTCTCTCTCTCTCTCTCTCTCTCTCTGTGTGTGTCTGTATCTGTGAATCAGTTTATTTATACTCTTTGCCAAAGCAGGAGGGAAGTTCTCAGTCTGCAATATCATAACTTACAAGGAGGGGTTAAACAAAAACAAAAGTCAGAAAACGTGTCTGCAGACAGTCTTTCTCCTGGGGTCAAGACGTCTACAGGGAGGGAGCCCAGCATGGAATTTTCCTAAAGGGATCCTAATTCCTAGGATTCTTACTATAATTCCTCCTTTTTGTGTCCATTTTTCAATTTTGAGGGATTTGGAGGTGCTGTGCCATGTATTGCTAAGTTGCTGTGTGGATTCCCTCAGGGGTAGCTAAAATGTATAGGTTAAAAAAGGAGCCACATGGGGCTGGAGAGATGACTTAGCGGTTAAGAGCACTGGCTACTCTTGCAGAAGATGGGGGTTAGAATCCCAGCACCCTCATGGTAGCTAACAACCATCTATAACTACAGTTCCAGGGGATCTAACACCCTCCTATCCTCCATGGACATTGCATGACATGGGTGCATTTACATACACATAAAATAAAAAGAATAAATACATTTTTTTAAAAAAAAAAAAGGAGCCACATGCCCTATGCCTGAAGGAAATACTAATTGGAGAGCATGCAGCAGTCAAGGTTAGAGGAGACTGAAGCTCCCCGGCTAGAAGGAGAGGGAGCATACTTTGGATCCCTCTTATTCTGTATATTGTCTTTGTGAGGGACACTAGAAATGACTCCTTCCTAAAACTTTACTTTTTAATTTTTATTTTATGTATGAGTGTTGTGCCTGCATGTATGCAAGTGCATCCGTGTCATACAATGACTGTGGAGGCCAGGAGAGGGTGTCAGATCCCCTAGAACTGGAGTTAGGGACAGTTGTGATCTGCCACGTGTGTGCTAGGAACTGAACCTGGGTCCTCTGCAAGAGTAGCCGTGCTCTTAATCACTGAGCCATCTCTCCAGCCCCCAAATGACTCCTTTTTGATTTTGACCTTTTCCCCGCTCCTGTGTCTGAACCAACTGTTTCTCTGAAGCCATGTCTGACTAACCATGTTGGATTCTGGTCCTGTCTTGGACACCAAATTGTTACTAGCACACCGAGTCATCAGGTGTGCTTTACATGCAAACACTCATCTGCCTTAAGAAAAAATGACATACTAGAAATAGAAATGGAAAAGTGAATTTATTTAATTTTGGGCGACAAAACTACAGAAAGTCACAACCTGTGGAGAAGCTGAAGCAAGTCAGGACACATGCGTATGTAGATAATCTTTCTTATGACACCAGGGTTCCTGCAGTACCTAATCTTCATGTTCAGCATTGAGTTTTCCTGGACCTCTTTCCTTAAGTGTCTAGGTGAATAGAAGGGGTAACCAGTGCTGGGTAGGCAGGAAGGCCTTAAAGGTAGGCGGAGCTAAGGCTGGCTGAGAAGTTGTGGGACCTGCAGGGACAGATACATTTGGGGTCAGGGCCTTAGTACCACCTCCCTTGTATGAATTATTCTGGGAGATACTTTGAGTGGGAAGGAGTATGACGTTAGATCTCCACTTCCATCCTTCCCCAGAAACCATCACCTCCATCTACAAGACCAGTTTTCGGGTGGATGTGCCCTTTGACTTGCCCGAGATCTTCTTTTTTGTGGCCTTGGGGTGAGTGCAGTGTCAAGGCCCTGACAGCACCCAGATGAACTCCTCCAGGCATGAATTAGGGGCAGCTCCAGACTTACCCCACTATCACCTCCAGGGCCATCTGTGGTGTCCTGAGTTGTGTTTACCTGTTCTGCCAGCGGACTTTTGTCCGCTTTATTAAGACCAATCGATATACCTCCAAACTGCTGGCCACCAGGTAAGCTGAGGCACTCAGGGAGCACCCCACTCCAAACCCCCCTAACTGAGCTACCATCTTCCTCCTACACCCCACTCACAGTGCTGCCATTCCCTCACTAATGCTCCCTGCAGGTCCCACGTCTATCACCCCACTTACTGGAGACCAATCCCCTCCTGGGAACTCACCCATCAGTCACTGAGCCCTTGCCTCCTCTCTTCCCTGAACATCCTCTGCCCCCAACCTTAGAGCTCCTCATCCCTCCACTTGACTAGCAGGGCCATCCCGCCCTGGCCTGGCCAGTCCTTCCTCCCTCAGACCCTCCCTTTGCCACATCAGGTCTCCTGGGCTCACACCACCTGTTTCTTCTCTGGAGGGCTCTGGAAATTCCCTGCTCCTGCCCTTCCTTCTCCCCAGGTCTTTCCTCACTGTGAACTCCAGGGCTGTGGGCTTACCCCCTCTGGGGAGCTCTGGTGTTTCCCCACATTGTTGGGGAGGCAAGCTCCAGTCTGCCTACTCCCCTTTCCCACAGCAAGCCCTTGTATTCGGCTCTGGCTGCTCTGGTCCTGGCCTCTATCACTTACCCACCTGGTGTGGGCCGCTTCATGGCTTCCCGGGTAAGGGGTGCTGAGCTGGGTGGCAGTGGTAAGGAGCCCCCAAATGCCATCTCCCCTTGTGCACCATCGTTATTCCCCTACAGTTCTCTGAGGGACATGCCTGCGGGTCACTTTTCAGATAGAGATGTAGCTGAGCCACGGCAGAGCCATCCCCAGGGTCCCCCGCTTGGAAGTGGTAGAGCAGTCCAGGCTCAGGTGGGTGGCGGGGCAGTTGGGGACATGCTGAACTGTCACTGTCTCTGCCCCAGCTGTCCATGAAGGAGCATTTGGACACCCTGTTTGACAACAACTCATGGGCACTGATGACCCGGAACTCATCCCCACCCTGGCCCATGGAGCCTGACCCTCAGAATCTCTGGTTTGAATGGTATCACCCACGGTTCACCATCTTTGGGACACTGGCCTTCTTCCTGGTCATGAAGGTGGGTCCCTTGTATGGGCAGAGCCATGGCAGGCTCTGGGTGGGCTGAGGCTGCCTCCACTTCTGGTAGCTGGAACACTGTCCCTACATCCACATCCAGGTCCCCAATCTGACCCTGGCCCACTGTGCTCCTGGGAAGTTCCCTTAGCCTTCAGAGCTACAGTTTCTTTGTCTTTAAGATGAGGTAGGGGCAGGGGGCGATAGCTCAGTCAGTAAAGTGCTGGCCCAGAAAGCTTAAGGACTTGAGTTCGATCCTTAGCACCCACATAAAAGCTGAGCATAGTGGGGGGTGGTGGCACATGTCTTTAATCCCAGCACTTGGGAGGCAGAGGCAAGTGGCTCTCTGTGAGTTCAAGGCCAGCCTGGTCTACGTAGTGAGTTCCAGGTCAGTGGGGGCTACAGGGAGACCCTGTCTCAAAAAGACCAAAAAAAAAAAAAAGAAAAAAAAATGCTGGGCATAGTGGACACACTTGTAATCCTAACACTGGGGAGGCAGAGTCAGGAGGATCCCTGGCGATCACTGGCCAGCCTATCTAACCTAATGGGCAAGCTCCAGGCCAATAAGAGACCCTGTTTCAAAAGAGGTGGGCAGTATTTCTGAGCCTGGTATCCACATGCATGAACACACACATACAGACACACACAAATACACACACACACACATTTTTCTAAATGAAGTACTAATTCTTTTTACCTAAAGGGAAAGCTAAAAAGGGAAATAGGAATGAATGTGCTCAGCACACAGTAGGCACTTTTAACAGGACTTGGTTCCTTCCCCTGGTTGGTGTCCATAGTGCCAGACACTGCCATGAGCCCAGTGTGAGCACCCTTTTCTCTAGGAACCACACACCTCTGTCCTGTCCCAGCCTTGTTTACTCCTGGCCCTGTTGCCTGTAACTGCTGCCCTCTGATCCCCTCTCCCATCCCCGGCACAGTTTTGGATGCTAATTCTGGCCACCACCATCCCCATGCCTGCTGGGTACTTTATGCCCATTTTCATCATTGGTGAGTCTGGGTCTCTAGGAGGTTCAGGGGCATGGGGCCATGGCCATGGCTCCGCATACCATCTCCCTCCCAGGGTAGTATTGAGGGTGGGGCAGGGTTTGAAGGCCTTGGGGGTTGGGTCATCCTGGCTATGCCCTTCACCCTGAGTCTGTGGCAGGAGCTGCCATCGGGCGCCTTTTGGGAGAAGCCCTCTCTGTTGCCTTCCCTGAGGGCATCGTGGTTGGAGGCAAGGTCAATCCCATCATGCCTGGGGGCTATGCTCTGGCAGGTGAGTGGGCCTGGGCCCAGCAGGTAGCCCAGACCTCATGGGCTAGTCTAAGCTGAAGAGGCTGATGTTTGTGTAGGGCACAGAGTGAACTGTTCAATGTGAGCCCCAGTTCCTCATACAGGCCTGTATGCCCTTTGAACAGTCCACTCCCTGAGCCCCACCATCCTAAGTCTCACAGCTCTCTCTTTTTCTTGTCTTTTCCCAATCCCCCACCTCATCTGTATCCCTCTTCTCTCTCTATGCCCAGGCATTGGGCACTTCCAACTGTCAGCAGCATTTGCCCTCTGGACACTATTGAGCCTAGCTATGGTCATATTATGCCCATCTTGTCTTCTGGGTGAGCCTGGCCCCTGGCCTGAGCTGCCTCACCTTGGCTTTGGTCCTGCAGGGGCTGCGGCCTTCTCAGGGGCAGTGACCCACTCCATCTCCACGGCACTGCTGGCCTTCGAGTTGACCGGCCAGATCGTTCACGCACTGCCCGTGCTAATGGCAGTGCTGGCGGCCAATGCTGTCTCTCAGAACTGTCAGCCCTCCTTCTACGATGGTACCATCATGGCCAAAAAACTTCCGTACCTGCCATGGATTCGTGGCCGCAAGCTTGGGTGAGCCTCAGGCTGGCTGATGGGCTAATGATGTCCAGGGTAGTCTGGGAGTAGAGGGACCTCCACAAAACACTGCTGCAGCTGACCTCAGGCCACTCTCTGATCCTCCACCTCCTCAGAGCCCCATGTGCTGGGTGAGGAAGCCAGGGCTCAGGCAGGGCCCTGTCTTAATCTGGGCCTGAGCACCAGATGGGAGATGCCCCTCTCTGCCCTCCCTCACTCTCCTGTCTTCACTGGTTGGTCTGGAGCTGGAGTGTAAATAGGGTCTGAGTCCCTTCCTCCACCAGATAGCACCCCAGTATCTTCTGTCCCCAGAGCAGCAGAGATCAGAGGCTTTCAAACTTCTTTGTCCAAAGTCCTGCTCCAAATTTGTGCAAACTGAAGTCTTGCTCCAAACCTATTTTTCCATCTGTCAGACGGGCATGGCTTCTCTTGTATTTTTCAAGTTTTAAGGTTGTATTTTTGTTCCCACATAATTTTTCTTTCAATAAAATTCTCTCAGGTGGGAAAAACAAACAAGCAGAACCAAAAGAAATTCTCCAAGGAAGAATTCTGCTGGGTGACATAGAGCCAGAGGAGCTGGTGTTGGGGAGCTGAGGGTATAGAATGCACCATTAATGAGACGGTCTCTAAACTTCTTCTTCATTGGGGCCCAGGAGCCCTTCTGTTCCTTGTAACCACTGTATTTCGGTTACTTTTCTCCTGGCTTCAACAAAATTTGTAACAAAAGCAACTTAAGGAAGGAAGGTTTATTCTGGAACACAGGGCCATGGCACAGTCCATCATGGTAGGAAGGCATGGCGGCAGGTGCGAGAGGCAGCTGGTCACATCGCATCCATAGTCAGAAAACTGAGAGAGCAGTGCTGGTACTCAGCCTGCTTTTTCTTTTTTATGCAGTCTGGAACCTCAGCTCACAGAATGGTACTACCCATATCTAGGGTGGGTCTTCTTTCCTCAATTGACCTAATCTAGAAACTACCAGACAGACATGCCCTGTCTTTTTGCAATTCTAGATCCTATTGACCATCAGTATTAACCATCACACACAGGTCCTCTCCCAGTAAGGCTCCCCCAAGTGCCCCTGCCTCATCTTGGCGACTGGCATTCCTCTACTCCAGGAACTGATGGGAGCCCCCTCTGCCCACAGCTCCTACCCTGTGATAGTGGAACACTTTATGAACCGCACCATTACCACACTGGCCAAGGACATGCCACTGGAGGAGGTGGCCAAGGTCGTGACCTCCACGGATGTCATTCAGTACCCCCTAGTGGAGAGCACAGGTACCCAGCTGGGAGGGGGAATATGACTGCTTGGGAGGAGGCAGTGTCTGTGTAATACAGCAAAGGCAAACAGGGCATTACATCTGCCTCTGAATCCTGGCTCTGCAACTGGACAGCTGTGTGACCTTGGGCAAGTCCCTTAGCCTCTCTGAGCTTCAGTTTCTTTATGAATAAAGTGGGCATAATACCCACCCTACCTGGGGTGTGTGTCATGTTTAGAGACGATGAGGTTCTTGTGAAACAGTCCAGAAATTGCTCTTGGGATTCTAGCCAAGGATGATACAGTCATTCCTGGCTGCCAAACTTCTGTGTCTGTAGGCAGCACAGTTACCCCTCTGTGCCTCTCAGTCTTGGTTTACTCATCGGTAAAATGGGTAATAAGGGTTCTAGTAGACCGCAGGCTTCTAGGAGCTTCCTCTGAGACATGAAAACACCCAGCACTGTTCTGAGCACATAGTAGGTGCTCAGAGAATATGACTTCCATGTTCATTAAGCATCCCTCCCTCTGAACTTGACAGAGTCTCAGACCCTGGTGGGCACTGTAGAAAAGACCCACCTGGTACAGGCCCTCCAGACTGTGACTCCAGGCCAACAGGTGGGTCCTTCTGATGGGCGTGGGGACAGGGTGGGGCGTTAGCAGACCTATGAGAGGAGGGGTTAGCTGACCTCCTAGAGAGAGAAGGTTAGAGAACAGGAACACATCATCCAGTTCTGTACCCCCCCCACAGTCTTGTCTCCAGGATATCTTGACTGATGGCTGCCCCACACAACCAGTGACCTTGCAGCTGTCCCCAGAGACCTCCCTGTATCAGGTAAGGGGAGAATTGGAGAATGTGGGGTGGAAGGAGAGGACCTGATGAGGAAACTCAGGCTCTACCTTCTCCCTCTCCCATGTGAAGTATATTTTGTTGTTGTTTTGAGACAGGGTCTCCCTTGTAGCCCCAAATGTCCTAGAACTTACTATGCAGCCCAGGCTGGTCTCTATGTCACAAAGATCCACCTGCCTTTGTACTCCAAGTGGTGGGATTAAAGGCATGGGCCACCGCGCCTGGCTTCTGTGTACAGTGTTGGATTGCCTTCCTTCCTTTATATTGTTCATCTGCAGATGGGCACAGCAGCTCCATCCTGTGAGCCACCCACTGCCAGGGTTACAGGGGCTGATACAGAGGGCTAGAGAAGCAGGAGAGCTTGGGAAACAGATGTTTCCGGGTAGACACGGTATTAAAGACATCCGATGTAGGCCCAGTTTGAGGCAGTCCACCTTCCTCCTCTGTGACCCTCAGGAGATTACCTAACTTCTCAGAGCATGTACATGGGGCGGGGCATGGCAGAAGCAGGCCAGGAGTCTGGCCATGGCCCCAAGCTCTCTGCCAAGGCATGATGCTCCTGAGTTTGGATAATGGTGGACAGGGCCCCTTCTACCTGGGGTGGTGCCCAGCTCCTTGTATGGATTCTGGCGACCCCTAGTGGTCATATTTGATATAGCTGATTGGTCTCTGATCACCCCCCTCAGCTGGCCCAAAGATAGGTATGTGGGCAGAGGAGTGTTCCCTGCCCCCCAGCATTTCCTGTCAATTCTTCCTCCAGACACACAACCTTTTTGAGCTGCTGACCCTTCAGTCGCTGTTTGTGACATCTCGAGGCAGAGCTGTGGGCTCTGTGTCTTGGGTGGAGGTACTGGGGCTCAAGGGTGGGGCAAAGCAGATAGGTCTCTGATGAACCCCAAGTCTTGGATGAGAGTGGCCACTGAGTCTGGGACCCCAATTGCCAGCCTGCCACTCTCTGGGTTCAGTGACTCCAGTCTCTGCCATGGGGGAGGCACCAGCTCTAAATCTAGCCAGAGTGGACCATTAGGGGGCACGCTCAGAGATGGGAGGCTGGGGATGTCTCTACTTCCTCTAATCCTCCCCCCAACCCTCTTTTCTCTGCTGTAGTTGAAGAAAGCAATTTCGACCCTGATCAATCCACCTGCCCCCAAGTGAGTTGGAACAGGAATTCAGCTGTCTGGTTCCCGAGGCTGGGCACAGAGGCCCACCTCTCTTCCTATCCTACCCAGTCCCTCCAGCCTAGCTCAGCAACTTGGCACAGCAGGCAGCTCTACCTAACCCTGAAGAGAGCCCCACATTCATTATGTCCCACCCTGAAGGCACAATAACTCTTGCCTAGAAGGAGAGCTCCCATCCTGAATGGAGCTGAGGTTGTGAATGAGAACACTGGAGGATACTGTCACCAGGGCGGATGTGGCTTCCGGGGTGTCTATTTCCAACCAGAAGCTCCTAAGAAAAATAAAGCTGATACCCAGAGCTGCTGTTCACCCCTTTTCTCCCGCAAGGGCGTGCACTTGGCCTCTGGGGTTCTAACTGTACGGCTCACAGTGAGCCCTTTGGGGCAGCCAGTGCTCACAAGGGCATTGCAGGCTAGGCCTCCTCAGCCTCCGTTCCTTAGTAGGGAGATGTGGGGGAGATAGCGTCCCCTTTAGGCCTTCAGTGCCTGTCCTCACATGAAACAGGACTCCGTGGACACAATCCTGCCCTTCAGGCTTGGTCTCCTTGGCTGAAGCAGGGCTGGTAAAGTGAGGTTCCTGGATATGGCTCCGTGAGGAGTACAAAAGCCCTGGGGATGCTCCACTGAGCCTCTGAGCTGTTTGTGTGTTGTTGGTAGGTGCTTTCCCTAACCCCTCAGACCCCCAATTCAGGGCTCAGTAACCCCTTCCCCAACAAGACTATATCAAGTTCATCCAGGATGAACCCACTACTTTAATGTCACCAGAGAACCTTGTGGGAAATAAAGGGGGTGTGTAAGGGATGGGACATTGGTTCCCTTGGATGGGGAATACAGGGGTCACAGAGAAAACCGGTGAAAGGGAGAGGGACAGACAGCCTCTCCGGAAGCTGAAGAGAGACGAGGAATGGCTCAGCCACCAGAAGTAGCAGCCCACCTTCCATGGGTCAGATACACAGAATGAGCGGCGAGGGACTGAACCCAGGTCAGGGCCAGCTCCCCAGGCCCCCTCCAAATGGGCTCCCCAGTCTTTCCATGGTGTCTTCCTGGGGCCCTGGCTGTCTGCTCTTCTGGGGCCTGTTGCCCTGGTATCTGCTAAGAACCCTGGAACAGTCTGAGGACAGAGGCCCTGAAGGGGCACAGTATATAGAACAGGAGGCCTGGGGCAGGCCCACTGAGGCACAGAATGGTCCATAAGGATGATGGCCCCCATCCCTGCCACACTCTATCCTGTACCTGTCCCAGGAGTCAAGAGATGCCCAGTGATAGATGGGTGCTGTGTATGCCTAGGCTCCCGCCAGCAAGGTGTGCCTCAGTTGTAGAACACCTCATCTTCTTCCTCTGAGAGGGAGCCGCTGTCCACCGAGGGCAGGGAGCCATGCAAGCAGCCCCCGCCATCAGGCCCCGGACCTCCTGGCAGCCGCTGCCGGTGCTGCTGGGTAGGGCTGGGGAGATCCATCGGTGAGGGCCAGACATCCTCAGGGGTGAGGCCAGGGGAGCAGGCTAGGAGACTGTCATCCTGTGAGAGGCCACTCCGGAGGCTGTCCTGAAGGTAGATGCTCTCCAGGTCTGGAACACATGCAGGGAAGGGATGGAATTCTGCATCCTGTTCCCACCTCCCTTGGTGTGGCAGGCCAGGCAAGGGCCAGGAGAGCTGCTATACCACAGCTGAGCTGTGTGACCCTGGACAAGTCACCCAACCCCATTTCTTCCCTATGGCATGGAGCAGAGGAAAGAGCAGGCTGTGAGAATTGGGAAATGGGTGGTCCTCCTGGTCCTCTGTCCTCTCCCCATCTGGTTGTAGGAAGAATCAAGTGAGGTGAGTTAATGCAAGCCTCATCAGGACCAAAGTGTGGTGAAGCATCCATAGTCACTCAGTGTCCTAGTAGTTACAGTGGCTCTGACACCCCTGGCTGTGACTCTAGGGCAAATTTCTGAAGCTCTTAGTGCCTCTAATTCCTTTTATGTAACATGTAGATAACAGGACTGCTTCCTGGGGAGGCAGTACCCACAACACACCTACTGTGCACTCAAGACACACCACCCCCCTTTCTGCTCAAGGCACTCACAGGCAAGGATTGCCAGCCCCAGTTTACAGAGGAGGAAGCTAAACCCAGGGGAAAAAAGGGCCTGTCTGAGGCCTCCATGCTTCTCCACCCACCCTATCCTGGTGTCCCTGGCTGTACCTTGGAGCTGGAAGGCATCCTGGGGACTGTCTTCTGGCTGCAATTCTTCGTCATCCAGAGAGGACCAGGCGCTCAGAGTGGCCTCCGTGATGGCAAACTGCTCAGCGACACCTGGGGGACAGTAAGACTGGGCTCAGGGTACATGTGGGTGGAAGGGAGCAGTTCATGTCTAAATGGGTCCCTCTGAACTGTCCTTCCATGCCCAGGTGATAAAGGAGGCCCATACCTTCACTGTCCTTGCTCAGATCCAACCTCACCCCTGAGGAGCTGGCCTGTGCCCTCCCTCAAGCCCCTACTCACCTGCAGCAAAGCGAGCCTCTCGCAGCTCATCTGGGAGGCAGCAATAATGTTCATCCTCTGCAGGGGACAGCTCCCAGCCTGACCTCTGGGCACTCCAGCCTTTCCACTCAATGAGATGGGCCACTCGGCCACGGGCCATGGCTGTGGGCTTTGTGATGTGGTCTTTGATGCTCTGCACCACTCCTGAGGGAAGGGACAGCTACTGGGTGACTGTACCAACATAAGACCCAGTTCAGGGTATCCCAGTACCCTCAGATCACCCCAAGGTCTATACCCCAAACCATGTCTATTTAATGCCCCTGAGCACTGGATGTCCTGCACCCCCAATGACACACAGGATGCTTAGGCCTACACTGTCTATCCCCTATGACCATGGCCAGTAGATGCTTTGCCTCGCTGTACCCACATGCTTCCCTGTCCCCTCCCAGCCTTATGGTCCCACTTCACTTACATGTCCTCTCTTTCCCAGTGTCCTATTCCCAGGAGACATTTCTATGGATCTGGGGCAAGTTTCTGAACCAGCCATTTCGTCCTTGGACTGGCTATGTTCTTCGATTCTTTTTTTTTTTTTGTCTTTTCGAGACAGGGTTTCCCTGTGGCGGAAGCCTCGGGGGATAAGCGTTCCAAAGAAAGGCAAGGTGCCCACAAGGAACAAGGGGCCAAGAACGTGGGAAAGATGGAGGCAAGGGAGAGGGAGACCTGCTCCCCCAAGCTGGGCGTTGGCCTGTAGAATATTTCAGAGGTTATGTGTTTCCCAGGCTCTTGGGGGCTGGTGACGTGGAGGGCAGGTGGTCAAGTGGAGGAAGCTGTGCAGGCCAAGGGAAAGAGGCAGGCAGTGGGGCTCTCTGGGAACCTGGAAACATCTGGTGCATGGAAACCTGAGGTATGCGGGGCAAAGCTGTGAGAAGAGGACTGGGAGACTGGGCTGAGGGCTTCCTGGAGCCAAGGTGTGCAGCAGCCCTGATCCCCTCTCTTCCCAGCCTGAGTGCCCTCCCCTGGCTACCTTGGGTGTACCATTCCTGGCTCACACCCACACCTTCTTGGGAAAGCTACCTCAGCTTTGGGCATCACCTCACCAGGGGTGCCCTCAAGGTGGTACAGTCCTCCCCAAGGGCAACCAAGGATTGAATGGGGTGAGCAGACTCATGGACAGTCAAGTCCAGCCACCTGGTCTCCAAGTACCATTAATCCTTCAGACCACCATGCCACAGAGCTCTTGGTGGACCGAGGCAGAGGGCCTCTCCTGAGACTATATCCAAGTCTTCACTGAGCAGGGTCCCCAGCCTTTCCTGCTCCCTCATTCCCCACAGGTCCTCCCAGTCCCTCCAGGTACAGTTCTCACCTCAGGCTCTGCTTCTAGGAAACAAAACCCAAGGTGACGTGCGGGACCGTGCAGTCAGACATCCAAAAACTGCACCCTCCCCCTTGTGCCATCCCTCAGGGCTTCTTGAGAACCCAGCAATTCAAACCCCTGAGAGCAAGAAACCCAGCCCCAAGTGTGGCAGTTAGAAAATGTTAAACCCGAGGGGCTGGAGAGATGGCTCAGTGGTTAAGAGCATCTACAGCTCTTGCTGATGACCTGGGTTCAATTCCCAGCACCCACGTGGTAGCTAATAACCGTCTATAACTCCAGTTCCAGGGGATCTGATGTCTTCTTCTAACTCCGTGGGCATTGCACGACACAGGTGCACTTACATACATACAGGCAATACACTCATACACATAAAATACAAATAATAAAATTTTTTTTGAAAAAAGAAAATATTAAACCCAAGAGGTCTGTAACCCTCTGCCTTCTGCATCATGTGTCCCAGGGAGGAGCCTACAATCTCGACGGGCTGGAGGGGGGTAGTGGGAACCTACCCACAAGGGATGAAGTAGCCAGAGCAGCCACGCTGTAGTTGCTGGGACAGGCTCTCGAGTCCGACAGGTAGCCATTGGTAGTTTGGAAGCACCTCTGTAGAAAGGGAAGGGGTGAGCAGGAATGACAGCCAGCCAGAGGACCACACCCACATGCCCATCACCATACCCATCCATCTTTGTATGGTAGACAGGGATCAAGAACAGAAAGGCAGGGAGATCCTATCCACTCACTCAAAACCACCCTCCCCAAGCTGGCAGGACTGTGGGCTTGGGCTGGGCACAACAGAGGAAGGGGTAATAGTGTCAGCTGGGCTGGCTAGACTGGGGGACAGCAAGCACACTGACCTGCCAAGGATCCCAACAGAAATCCATCTGTTTGTCCTAAAGCAAGAGGAAAGGGGGATCAGTCAGGGCTGGGCTTGTTATGCAGATAGTTGCGTCCTGGGACCCATGGGGGGTGGGTACAGGCCCACCTTCTAATGCTCTAAGCAGTCAAGATCTACCCACCTACAGATCATGCACTGCTGTCCCTTAGCATGCAGAAAAGGAGGTGGGGCACAGTGGACTTGGGAGGAGAAGGCAGTGCAGGCAATAGATCAGACCCAGGCTGGCATATATACCACCATCATCTCCTGTATATCTGGAGACTAGAGACTTTTTAAATGATTTATTTATTTTTAATTACGTGTATACATGAGTGTGAGTGAGTGTGTGTGTGTGTGTGTGTGTGTGTGTTGTATATGCACATGACTGAAGGTACCTAAGGAGGCTAAAAGAGGGTGTTGAGTGCCCTGGAGCTGGAGTTACAGGCAGTTGTGAGCTGTCCAATAAAGATGCTGGGAACTGAATCCAGGTCCTTTGCAAGAGCAGTATGTACTCTTAACAGCTGAACCGTCTCTCCAGCCTGAGGTCAGAGACTTAACATGTCAGAATAGGTTTCTTCCTCTGGAGAATGGTGACAATGTCATTTGCAATGGGTAAAGCATCAATGGCATAACTCAGGGCAGCACCCAGCACAATGCTCAGCCAGCAACATGTGCTTTAAGAAACAACCTGGGGCCTGGTGTGGTGACGCATGCCTTTAATCCCAGCATTCAGGATGCAAAGTCAGGCAGATCTCTGTGAGTTCAAGGCTAGCCTGGTCTACATAGTGAGTTCCAGGCCAGCTGGGGCTACAGGGAGACCCTGTCTCAAAAAGAAACAACAACCTGCTGGGGTGGGTGGGTATACCTTTAACCCCACACTCAGGCAGGCGGATCTCTGAGTTCAAGGCCAGTCTGGTCTATATAGCAAGTTCCAGGCCAGCCAAAACCACATAGTGAGAAACAGTCTCAAAACCACTACCACCAAATTTTTGTCATTCTTGGGCAAAGATGAAAATTATGCATCAGGACCCCTAGCTACACCTTCCGAATCTACGTGGACTGAGAATTCCCTGCTGTTATTCTTTTTTAAATGTATTTTATACGTATGAGTGTTTTGTCTGCATTTATGTTGGTATACCATGTGCATACAATGCCTGAGGAGGCCAGGAGAGGGCGTTGGCTCCCCTAGAACTGGAGTTACAGATGGTTGTGAGCTGTTATGTAGGTGCTGGGAGCTGAACCTGAGTCCTCCACAAGAGCAGTCAGTGATCTTAAACTCTGAGCCATCTCTCCGCTCTCATCTGCTTTTATTCTTGAGCAGATACTGCCAGCAGTTAAGGAACTCAGAGCTGGTAGCGGAACCTACTGAGTGTAAGGCTGAGTTAATTTTGGTGGGAAGACCTTCAGGGTGGGATTGTATTTTCTAAACAAGCCTGGTCTGGTTCTTGGTACCCAGTCCAAAGCAGACCCTCATCCATTTGAACAACAAGCCCTTGATGCCTCTATTACCCAGGGAGAAGCTGAGGAAGAAAGGACCTGAGAATGGTTTCTATTTGCTGTAGGGAAATAAAGGGGCAGGTGGAGCCAGAGAACAGGATGGAGCAGAGGGAAGAGGATGAACAGTCACTTACCTTGCCAGTGACATGGTCTGGGGCAATGGTAAGTGGATGGTTGGAGGGCAGATCTGGGTGCAGGAGGTCGGTGCCCTGGGGCCTCGGGCAATCTTTGTGGGCACTTGTGAACAGATCTGAAAATAAGAGTAACAGAAGAAATTTAGAAAAGCCTAGCCCTGGCCATAGCAATAAGGCAGGAAAAAGAAACAAGGGCATCTAAATAGAAAAGAAGATGGTCAGATTACCCTTGTTTAACATACAGAAAAACTAAAGACTCCACACACACACACACGCACAAAAAACCTGATACCTAACTCAGTAAAGTTGCAGGATACAAAATCAACATACAAAAAAACAGCAGCTTTTTAGCCAAATGTGGGTTATAAAGTACACCTATTGTTCCAACTACAAGTGGGGGAATCAGTTCATTCCAGGAGCTGGAAACCAGCCTGAGTAATACGAGTGTATTAATGGTATATTAAAACAAAAAGCTGGGCTGGAGAGGTGGCTCAGTGGTTAAGAGCATTGACTGCTCTTCCAGAGGACCTGGATTCAGTTCCCAGCAACCGTGTGTGTGTGGCAACTCACAACCATCTATAACTCCAGTTCCAGGGAACCCAATGCCATTTCTAGCCTCCACGGTCACTGTACACATGTGATGCACTTACATACATGCAGGCAAAACACTCATACACATAAAATTTTAAAAATCTTTCTTGAAAAAGCTGGGGTCCAGATGTAGCTCAGTTGTAGGGTATTTGCTTAGCATGCATGAAGCCCTGGGTTCAGTCCTCAGCACTGTATAAACCAGGAGCTGTGGTTCATGCCTATGATCCCAGCACTCTGGAGGTAAAGTCTGGAGGATCAGAAGTTCAAGGTCATCCTTGGCTATGTACCAAGTCTGAGGGCAGCCTGAGCTATGAGACCTTATCTATAAATTAATAAAATAAATAAAGCCAGGCATGGTGGCTCATGCCTTTAATCCCAGCACTACTTGGGAGGCAGAGACAGGCAGATCTCAGTGAGCTCAAGGCACATCTGGTCAACATAGCAAGTTCCAGGCCACCTGGGGCTACAGGGAGAGTCTGCCTCAAGAAACAAAAGTAAATAAATAAATTTAAAAGCTTCTGATTCCTCCTCCTTTTCTTTTCTCCCCCCACCCCCAACCCTTCCTCCTCTTTCTTCTCCTCCTTTGAAACAGTCCTGCTATGCAGCCCAGGGTGTCTTCGAACTCAAGATCCTCCTGCCTCAGCCTGCCAAGTGGCTGGAATTACAGGTATGTGCCAATATGTCCACTACTGCAAATTTTTTACTTTATAAATGTTTTAATTTAAAAAATGTTTACTTAGGGCTGGAGAGATGGCTCAGTGATTAAGAGCACTGGCTTCTCTTGCAAAGGGCTCAGGTTCAGTTCTCAGCATGCACATGGCAGCTCACAACGGTCTGTAATTCCAGTTCCAGGGGAACCAACGCCCTCTTCTGGCCTCCACGGGCATTGCATGCATGGGTATATTTGCACATAAGCAACCAAAACACTCATTCATACACATAAGCTAAAAAATTTTAGAAATTAAAAAAATTCTTTTGTAACAACATTTAGTTTCAAATACAAATATACACTATATAACTATACAAAAATATTTTAATTTTTCTTTGAGACAGGGTGTCTTAGTTTGTTCTTCATTACTGTAACAAAACTCTGACCACTACCAACTTGGGGAGGAAAGGGTTTATTTAGCTTACATCTCCCAGGTCGCAGTCCATCAGGGAGCCCAAGGTAGGAACTCAGGGCAGAAACCTTGAGGCAGGAACTGGAGCACAGGCCATGGAGGAACGCTGCTTACTGGCTTGCTCCTCTGGCCCCTGCTCAGCCTGCTTTCTTATGCAACACAGGCCCACCTGCCCAGGGGTGGCACCACTCACAGTGGGCTGGGCCCTCCCACATCACTCATCAAGAAGATGCCCCTCAGACATGGCCACAGTCCAGTCCAATAGAGGCAATTCCCCAATTGAGGCTCCCCCAACCCAGGTGTGTCAAGTTGACACCAAAGTTATCCAGCACACAGAGTATCCCTATGTCGCTCAGGCTGGCCTTGGAGTCAAAGATGACCTTGACCTTGGGTATACTACACATAGTTTTATTCTATTTCATTTCATTTTCAAAAATTTATTTGTGTGGGACTGGAGAGATGGCTCAGTGGTTAAGAGCACTGGTTGCTCTTGCAGAGGACCCAGGTTTGAATCCCAGCACCCACATGGTGACTAACAACTGTCCATAACTCCAATTCCAGGGGATCTGATGCCCTCTTCTGTCCTCCGTGGGGACTGCATGACACTGGTGCATTTACATTCATGCAGACATTACACTCATATACATAAAGTAAAAAACAAATTCAAAGCTGGGCATGGCAGTGTGCACCTTTAGCCCTAGCACTTGAGAGGCAGAGGCAGGCAGATCTCTGTGAGATCAAGGCCAGCCTGGTCTACATAGCCAGCTGGGGCTATAGGGAGACCCTGTCTCAAAAAGACCAAAAAAAAATTTTTAATGTTTTTTAAAAATTTGTGTGTGTATGTTATTGAGTACGCAGGTGCATGTGCGTTGAAGAGCATGTGGTGGATGAGGGACAACCTTGAGTGTCATTCCTCAGGCTCTGCCCACCTTGTTTTTTGAGACAGGCTCTCTTGTTGGCCTGGGGCTTTCTGACTAGGCTCAACTGGCAGACCAGTGAGCCCCAGGGATCCTCCTGTCTCTGCCTCCCCAGTGCTGGGATTACAAGTATAAGCCAGTAAGCCCAGCTTTTCATGTGGGTTCTGGAGACTGAACTGAAATTCTCATATTTGCAGGGTAAGTACTTTAACAACTAGGCTGTCTCCCCAGCCCCATGCTCAGTTTTATGCAGTGCTGGGGCTCAAACCCAAGGCTTTGTGCATGCTAAGCAAGGACTCTACTGACTAAACTACAAACCCAATATCCCCAGCCTGTTTTTTTTTTTTTTTTTTTTTTTTTTTTTTTTGTCTTTTTTTGAGACAGGGTCTCCCTGTAGCCCCAGCTGTTCTGGAACTATGTAGACCAGGCTGGCCTTGAACTCACAGAGATCCACCTGTCTCTGCCTCCCAAGTGTTGTGATTAAAGGCATGTGCCATGTGCCACCACACCCGGCTATTTATTTTTTATTTTATGTGTATTCATGTATTGCCTGCATGTAGGTAAGTGCACCCATGTTGTGCAATGCCCGCGGAGGTCAGAAGAGGCTGCTGGATCCCCTGTGACTGGAGTTATGGACAGTTGTTAGCTGCCATGTGGGTGCTGAGATTCGAACCTGGGTCTTCTGCAAGATCAACCAGTGTTCTTAACTGCTGAGCCATCTCTCCAGCCCCTGTTTTTGATTTTTAAATTTTAAACATTTTTGTTAAAAATTAAGACATTGGCTCAGTGGTAGAGCCCTGGATATAAGATCCTATACTTGATCTTCAGAAATAAATAAATAGAAAATAAATACACACCAGCAACATCATCATTTCTTGTCATCAGGTATTAGCAGGACACATTCATATGTGTTGATTTGACAGGATGGCAGCACAGTAGACTTGCTGACATTGGAATCACCAAATGTACACACACACACACACACACACACACACACACTATCCTTAAGAGGCACGTGACATACAAGAACTTTTGTCTCCCACTCCTGCTGTCCTAGCCAATGATTAGCAGTAATGAGACCTCAGCTCAAAAAAAAAAAAAAAAAAAAAAAAAAAAAATCAGCTTTGTCTGCTCTCCAGCGTCCCCTGGATGAGGCTAAGACTACCCCCTCACTTGGCTGGTCTCACTCCTGCTCACCCTACCCCTCGCTGGCTTCTTGTAGGAGATTTTCCCACACTCAAATCCTCGTTTCAGGGAAAAGTGTCCCCGAAGGAACAGAGGAAAGATCTGGAATCAGACTGGCCATATCCAATCCCAATTTAGCCCTTCACAACCGTGGAACCTGCAGGGAGTGACCTGGGCTCCAGAGCCCTAACCTTTAAAGTGGGCCATAGAGAGAGGCTGCCCTTCTTCTCGGAACACATGGAGAACAGCCAGGCATGCTGTCACTCGGCCTGGTGGTGCACACTGCAATCCCAGTACTAGGGAGGTGGAGGCAGGAGGATCAGGAGTTCAAGGACAGCTTTGGCTACATAGTGAATCTGAGGCTAGCCTGAACTATGTTGGGACCTTGTCTCCAAAAACCAACAACAAACCAGGTGCAGTGACACACACCTTTAATCCCAGCACTCAAAAGGCAGAAACAGGTGGATCTCTGTGAAATGGAGGCCAGCCTGGTCTATTATAGCAAGTACCAGGCCAGCTGGGGCTACAAGGAGACCCTGACTCAAAAAAACAAAAACAAAATCCAACAACAATAACAACAAACTGAGAACAGAGAGGCCCTGGGGTTCCCATGCTTTGAGACAGCCACTGAACTATGCTCTCTCTCTGAGGCAGGTTCTGTACTGCTACCTGGGGCCCCTTGTACTCAGACAACCCATTTCTGCCACGTTCCCAGAGAACAATTCACAGAAATTCTCATGTCTGTACAACCTGACTGGGGTCAGGCTGGGATGGGCCAGGCCGGGGTGGAGCAGGCAGGGAGCAGCCAGTACCCCCTCTCACCGTGGCAAGGACAGAGAGTGAGGAAGGCACCATGTCTGGGTCTTTCTAGAATCCCTGAAGAGGACTGCTTACAGTCCACAGGGGACCCCAGTCTGAAAGGCTAGAGGTTGGGCCGTGTTAGGAGGAGATGGGACTTGGAACTGGAATGAAGAAGGCCAGGGTACATCTTCTATGACAGGGCTCTGTGGTGGGGAGGCCCCCAGATCATTCACCCAAGCCAAGCAGGCCGGCCAGAAGCCTCGGGGATTTGCATATCTCAGTCTCTCCAGCACTGAGATTCCAAGAGCAGGCTACCATGCCTGGCTTTTTTACACGGGTTTGGGGGATTTGACTCAAGTACTCTACCAACTGAGCTACCTCCCCAGCCCCCACTTTGCCTATTTTATCAGCCTCAGCAGCCCCAGCACCTGCCATAGGGCCCAGCACACAGCAGGGCCTCATTAAATGCTTCTGGAACTAAAATAGAGCTATTCAGATATC